TACAAAGAGTAGCATAGGCTTTGTCAGGATTCTTTACTGAGGGCCATACAATTCTCCGCATATGGACGGCATCAAGAGTTTGCAGTTTAAAAATAGTAAGTCTCTGCTAAGATCGCAATAAAATCTCAAATTTCTTATTCTGGCTGGCCGCAAATGCCGGAGAAACGGACAAGTGATGATTAAGCTACGATAGACCAACGTCAATACAGGCAGTAAGAAGGACATTAAAGCGAGTTAAATGAGGTCTTAGCTGCCTTTGATGGAACGACCTGAACCGATTCACTCAGGCAAGCGATTCGGCCGATGCAATAGAGCATATACAACCTTCCCGACTATTCGCTTCTGAATTAGAATCCAATTAGCTCTATATGCTAGCCACTTTTTCCATTGGCGCATTTTAGAGCTTTCTCTTTTTCCCAACTCGGTCGTTTTCTCAGGGTGATTTGGTTGGATGCGTCTTATCCGAAGTTCTCTGCCATATTAGTCATAATTCACAGATCCGGACCTTGAACTCATTACATCTTCAGACATTTCGCCAGCATCATCAATCGATCTTGCCATTCGCAGCACCGATCTACAATTGTCCAAGGCAACCGTCCTGCAATATCGGGTGAGGCCATTCTACGAATCACTTCGACCCGCCTTCTCAAACGAAATGGAAGGTACGCCAGTTCCGTTTCTTGTCTTTCTGGTTGACCGATTTCACTCGGTTACAGTTCAAGTATACGTTTTGCTGCATACGCTATTTCTCACGGCTTTACTAACACGTACACTGACACCTCACCGAGCAGAGAGTTTTGGCGCTGGTGTTCATACCTGCTGCTACGGCCCATTTCCATGTTTAAACCTGTGTTCCCTGAGCAAATCGTCAGTGTCTATCCTTTGTCGCCTGCTGTATCTCAAGTCTATTCGGCTGTAATGCTGAATTTATGCGATGCTCTGGCTCCCAAAATTGTAATTGTTTCTTCGAATAGGCTAAACTGAAAACGTCTTCTCTTGAGTTCCCAAAGTTTCTTATCTGCTTCCTTCTTGGGATCCTTTTTCCTCTGATTAACTATAGACCCTTGATCCAGTCGTCTCATTTTTGCTCGTCTTGCCATATTCTTGTTTGATTTGAGTTGCTTAAGCAATAGCTACCTCTGCCTTCATCGTTTGACCGAACTCATCATAGCAGAACATCATCTTTACAATCATATACAAGCTAATGAATAAAGAAAACTCAAAATATCATCCTTAAACTATATGTACATACCTAAATCCAGGCTCTTTGATGAGGTATAATGATTTTTTAAATTAAAGTCATATGTCAACCTCAAAGCATGTGAGTTTGTCTGTATTTGTTTATGTGTCTTCATGTATTCTTGTTTATTTAAGAAATCAGCAGTTATGGCTCAATGTTACTATTAAAAAAAAAATATATATATATATAGTCTATATTTTAACCATCACTCTGAATGGGCAATCGGACATTTATTGTCCTTCTCTATCTTTATTATCCATTCATATTGCAATCAATTTGGTTAATTATGAACAAGAAATTATCTAACCTATCCCTAACATGCCACCATATTAAAAAGTAGTCATATAATCCAACTAACATTCTCGGTGTCAGTCTTCCCTCTTCCAATAGCATTCCTCCATCCTTGACATGCAATTATTCTTTAAAATAGGAACCAAACAAGACTTCATTGCCAGACCTTGCACCTTTTCCTAAAACATATTTTTACAGATGAAATATTTGCTACTCATGGATAGATTAAGTAGTCCTAATATTGAGCTTTTGCTCAGATTAGCTCTTTCAATAATATCCTTTTATTCATCCAGGCTGAGTGTTAGTACTTCATTAGCCTTCACAGGCGTTGATCCCACCTCGAAACTCGCCAAAAGTTCCTTCTATTCCTGCCCTTGGTCACGAGTTTTGACGAGTCCTCAACTAGCTCTCCTCACTTCTAGCAGGAATCAAAGCCTACTTTAGTCGTTTAGCGTTTCAATAAGTTCAAGTTGTCATTCAGTACATCAAGCTTGTTTTTTGGGCTAAAAAGGAGCGTGGACTATTTCATCGGTCCATCAGCCCATCAATTTGGCTTGTCATGTGTGTCCACTGAACGGAGGAAGGAGTGTGATTTGTGCTTACAAGCTGAGTTGTGTGTCGCACTACTTCTTGCCGCCTTGTTTATGACATCTTTTTCTAACTTATCCCAGGCCCGATTGTATGATTTACTTTAATGCCTTTGCGCTCTTTTCTGCGCATTAATGCTTCATCTATCTTTTAAGGAGTCTTATTTATTTTAATTTTATTTCATTTTATTTTTCTTGTTAAACCGCCACTTATTAGGCTTCCCCGATCGAGGTTGCCATCTTTAAAAGTCGTAAAGACTACTATTCACGGCAATACCTCGTTCATAACCACATTGACCCTAGCATCTAATTAACCTGGCATTTAATAGATTTCTATTTTGCTCAAATTCTATTTTTTGTGCATTTACCTTTTGGGAAATTATTTAAGTAACGGAATTGCTAATCGAAAAATGATCTACTCATTTATTTTTAAAACCTTTACACAAACGGTGAAATGAATAACTATGGGTTGCTATTTTAATAGCCTTGCTCAATT